TGGCAGCTTTCTCAGACGATTAAACCTTCTTCGTTTACGTTGGAACACATGCCAGCATCTCTGTCTCAGTTTGGAGATAACTCAATTCCCAGTGCTCCAAAAGACTTCTCCGTCTGGGTCAGTGAGTGCCATAGTAATACAGAGAATATCTCCCATAATACACCATGTCTGCCCCTAACATTTTGCATAACCTGGCCTTTTTTTTCACTTCTCCTGGCTATTACAGTAGTCAAGAGAAACTGAAGTCGATGCTTATGCAAACGTTTGGAGGGCAAACAGGGTGTATTACGGGAGATGTGCAATGAAGAACAAGCTACTTAATAACAGTTTGTGTCAAATAGTCACATTTTAGGATTTGTCTGCAGAATCAATAGACAGACCACCTTGTATGTATAACAAATGTCCCCCTTGGCAGCGATATACAATTAAATAGACGATACATATAGAAATAATTAATTTGTGGTATATTATATCCTCAACGTAGCTCTTCGTCCACCATTCCGATTCGAATCAGAATTTGGAAGTGTTAGATTTTGAGGTGAGGGCCTGGAAAATCAAAGTGCCCGAAGAAAAACCTCTCGGAGCAATGGCAAAAACCAATAACAAATTAGCAAAAGTTTCATTAAGTTTCTTGCCGTTTGACCTTTGGTAACAAGTAACCTCACTTAAAGTGGTAGCCTTCATTGTTCAACAGCTTTTTAATCACTTTATAGGGCTGGAGCGACGCTCATGGAAAAGAGAGAACAAAACTTGGAGAATATGTTTACGATAATAAGGCAACTGCTCTTCAAACCTTTTCAGTGCAGGTGAGGGGATCGGCTGAAGTGACCGAATGCTCAGAGCGTCGAACTCGCAATCCAGAGGCCCTGGGTTCCAGTTCCGCTCTCTTACCATTACCGTATTAACTCGAATAGACGCCGCGGCGTTTATTTCATTTTTCGCGATCCAGCTGCGGCGTTTATTCGAGGGCGGCGTCTATTCGGTGGCGGCGTTTATTCAAAAATCACTTTATTCAGTACTAAATATCGTACTACATATGGTAACTTTTTTACTAGGTAACAGTAACAAATCTCAATATATAAATGTCGTTCATTTTGTCTATTCAATTGTGATTTTTACACAAAGTTAAACTTCAACAGCAGAATTACGCGTTGCAAAAATTCTTGAAAGAGAACTTAACACAAGAGCAAAAAAGTACAGTCACTTTGAACTAAAAAATGTTGTTCTAAAAGAAAATAAATTTCCATTGCTGGTTTAAACTCGAAATAGACTTTTCTTTAATAATTATTATAAATTATTATTTCCTCAAATATACGCTGCATCGTAGACGCGGCGTCTATTCGGGGGTCGCGTCTATTAATATTTTGAGTCTCAAGTGCGGCGTCTATTTGAGGGCGGCGTCTATTCGAGTAAATACGGTAACGTTCTTAGGGATTCGTCACGCGTTCCTTCCTCACGTTGGGAGGATTGCGTGACGAGCCAGAAGAACGTCTGCGCAGGAGGCTTGCACGGAGTGCATTTCCTCGGCTACGCTTGAAAATAACCAACCGGTTCGCTACAATTTGACAGGACTAGTAGGAGGCGTAAAAAAAAAAGCATTTCTACATTCACATTTTGTGCAATGGATCCGCGTACTGAGCCATTTTCAATTGAGTAACCCCTGATATCTGAACATTGTAAGTGTTTATTGTGAATATCGTCAGTAAGGCCACTTCCACATTTTCCATAATGCACCTTAATTGCCCCCTAAAATTTTACATAACCTTTGTTTTTTATTTCTCCTGGATATTACAGCCGTCACAAGAGAGATTGAAAACAATGCTGATGCAAATTTTGGGGGGCAAATAAGGTGCGTTATGGGAAATGTAGAAGTGGCGGATTGGCCATTTCGTGACTGCGAAGAGACTGGATTGATGCGGTGTCGAATTGCACTATGGGACTGTTTTGGGACGCTATCTCTTTTTTCAACGGTTGTCACGAAGTTGCGCGGGAAACTGGGTCAAAATTCGTTTTTCAACAACGTCACGGCAGCCATGTTGGTCTACCAAAACAATGAAACGACGGCCATGAACCTGTAGCAGTTGAACCCATTTCTCCCGCAAAAATGTTCTTTTGTTCCAAGAAATTTGCATAGATGATGACCACGTGAGTGAAAACGATCTACAACGAGCCATTTAAAATTAACATATTAGAAAAATCTGGAAGTCCAATGATTGTCTTCTTTCAGCCCCTAAAGTGGAAACTGTATTAGACAAATAAAGAAAAGGTAAAGCTTAAACGAGGGTTAGTTAATTTAGGAACCCGCCAGCCTGTGTGGCAGCAGTCGTTTTTATTTCGTTTTAGCCAAGCGGGAGAAACTCACGAGGGCATTGGGGGTAACGGAGGGAAAAAATTAGGCGCTCCTTTTTACTATATGCCTTTGCCCGTTCTGTGCGCTTTTCCCGGAAAACGGAAAGAAGTGCTACGCGGCTAGGACCCCGCGAAAACAGTCGTCCTTTGCCGCTCCCTGCCACCATGTAGCTCCCGTAGCGGGAGAGAGAGATGAGAAATGGCCGTGCGGACTAAAGGACAGTTAGAAGATAACATTGTTAATTCTCGTTGTGTTTACTTTCAGGTTTCATCAGTGCCATATTTTCGATTCGTTGAACTTAGAGTGCACTCGAACTATGGCAACCCTTCATACACGTGTTTGTACAGATTTAGAGTGCATGGAGTTCCATATGTACAAAAATACAATCAGTAACTAACGAAAGATCTGATCTGTATTGTGATCATAAGATCAACTCACTCAATGTTGAAATTTATCATGCGGTGTAAAGTAAAGGTCTTTAAAAAAAGTCAAGGTGTGATGTCGTGCTGCAGTTAAAGGTTTTTTTTAAACAAACGCTCGTCTTCTATCCTATTTAGTACAAAACGCTATCAGAGGGCTTAAGCTACGTGCAGACGGACGCAACAACTCCCAACATTGTTGGTCCAACAATGTTGGGAGTTGTTGCGTCCGTGTTGGCAGTGGTGTGCAAACGGATGCAACAACTCCCAACAATGTTGGGACCTGCAGTGCATCGTAGGAAAGATACAACCCATAAGACTTTCGAGACCATGTGTAATGCGCGTGCGTGGCCCCACCAATATTGGAAGAGCTGTGCAAACGGATCCAACGTTGTTGCGCTACGGTTCGGCGATCACGGAACAAAAGAAATGTTGGGAGTAGTTGGCTCAAACGTTTGACCAGTTTTAAACTCTGCGCAACAACTCCCAAAAACACGCAACAACATGTAACATACAACAATGTTGCGTCCGTTTGCACGCGGCTTACACCTTCCCTTTTACCGATGTCACGCAATATTGCAATTTTTAATGTTTTTGTGATTAAAACAAAATTATGGCTAGTTAGATCGATTATTAATACTGAGTCTAGTGAAACTGGAAGTTTGATAAAAATATCCATTGCAAACTCTGGGAAATATGGGAGCCCAATTCACCAATATTCTTAAATGCATGCCAGTGGACAACGCTTGCCCTCCTGGCATTTCTTAGTAAACGTCACCGAGAGATACTCGCCCGCTCTTTCCCAGACTTCTCGCAGACAACGGGTCAAGAGAGAACGCCTAGTGACTAGGCTGGGCAACACTCACAAACTCATGCGTTCACCGCTTTCCACTCAAGAACAACCAATATTTATCCGTTTGCGAACTTACCCTGTTGGACCAGTATGTCCACCTTACCCTCCCCTATTAACCCAAGAATTTCTCCTACGCGAGAAATTACTGTTAACGTTGGGTTAGGGGAGGAGTAGGTGGGTAGTTTTCGAGAGTCTTGTACTGATCCGCGTTTACAAACAAACCTTTCGAATTCAAAAGCGAGACTGTTTAGGAATACAAGATAAATTATAACTAATGTCGGGAGACGAATTAGACTGTGTGTTGAAGTTATAAAAATGACGTTAATGAATACGCTAGCGGGACAGCTTGATGACATCTGAACTATTAAAAACAAAACCGACATTATTACGTGAGCCTTCTTCGAGGCCAAGTTTAAGGCGAAATTAAACATTAAGGGACCCCCAATGTGTCATAACCAACGACTTTAAACACTTAATAAAGCAATGTAAATAATGCATTAAGAGGCATCAGTCTTGAAACAAGCTTTGTCGTGTTATTACACCTTCGATGCCATCTGATTTAATTATAAGCTATTTTGATTATCTACTCTCCCATCGGGAAAAATATTCAAAACAACAGAAAAACCTCATTATCAGCAGGAATTTTTTCTCTCAACTGCTGGATATTTATAAATGCCTTCTTAGAGACCCAGCTGAATGGACGCAGTTTACAATCTATCAGTAAATTGTTAAAATAAGGGTTCATAAATTTAATCTTGTCTTTTTAATTAACATTAAGTGAAGACCTTATATCGCCTTAGGATATCCTTCAGTGTCTAAGACGCGTGCAGTGTGGCTATATTAAATGCAAATGAACGCGCTCCAATATCTACATGTACAAAACTTTTCAATTCAATTTTTCGTTTTTCTTTTTTTTTTCATTTCGTCTTTACAAGGTCTACCTTTTTAGAGAGCTGCATGCATATTCCTCTTTTCCTTAAGCGTGTTTACGTTGTTTTGGGAACCAATTACCATTTTACATTATCTTATTCCGCTTTTACATAAGCGCATGGTATTAAACACATTTGCCATATTTCTTTCTTTTCCTTTGACGTCGTTTTTGTTCTAATTTTGAGTGTACCCTCGTTAAGATAATTTTCTTTTTCTTGCTTTTTCTAACTCTGACGTCGAACGTAACTTAAAAGAACGCAACGAAAACATTTTGGTTACGATCCTTGTGACTTTTAATTGCAAAAAATGCAAATGAAAAAGTCGCATTCTTCACAGGAATAATTTTCTACAATTTGAAAAGCGCTTTTTCGACTGTATTTGTAATTGTTCCTTATATTGTTGCCTTGATACAAACCAAAAAAAAGATCAGGAACGAAATTCTTTTGACTCATCTCTCCTTTTGGTCGGCGGACTTTCGTTGAAAGTGCGAGATTTTTTTCGCATCAGTCGGATCCGATCGCGTGCGTCCCGATCTCTTTCTTAAGTAGCGACAGTAGCGGATATCGTCAAGTGTGTATTCTGTACCATGCACCCGCGCTTTAAAAGCTTCATCCTTGTTGAAGTTTCTGACCCTTGGCTTAAAACCCACGCTCCGTCTTATAGGCGGTAGATGGGTTGGCGGAAGTTTAAGCGTTGGACCTAAACTGAGTTCCTCCTCGTTCAAATCAAAGTGACTTTCTGGCGGACCTGATTGTGGCCTTGTATTGTGGTCAGATTTGTCGTCAACCGACAATCGTTGTGCTTTATCAACTGCCTGCCGTTTACTTTGCAGGTTGCTGTTTGCCTTCTGTAAGCCTTGTAGAGAAAAGTTAATTGGTTTTCGTCCAATTCGCTTCTGTTCGAAGCTGATTGTCGAGGCCCTCCTTAAAGAGGGTTCTGATTTAACACTCCTTACAGAGCCAGCATCGTCTTTTTCGCGATTCGATTTAAGCAGAGCCTCGTAAACATCTTTCAGGGACATCTGACGCGTCACCCCGGATGGAACAACAGCAGCTGCTTGTTCAGAGTTCAAAGAGTCTGATCTCGTCAAATTCAGCGAGGTATTTCGCAGCTCTTCGCGTTGCTTCAACAACTTGTTTCGATCATCCACGGCACCTTTCCTCCAATGTGCCTTTTCTCTTTCTAGAGCCTTCCGCACCTTAAGCCAGTTGTGCGCTGCGCGATTGTTCTTTTGGTTTAGATCTCTGTTAGCTGCTCTCGCCTTTACGGCCGGTTCCACTTGTAAGCTCTCTCTTGGTACAGCCGCCATGATTTTCCGATTAAGTGCCAACTAAACCTGTCTATGTTGACGTCTGGCACGTTCAATATTCTTAGTTTAATTGACGTTGACTAACAGATCCTTCTGCAAATAAACCTTTCGAGTGCGTGGGCCTTATTTCATATTCAATACATTGTTCGTTCCACCTGGACGCTCCTGTTATCACGTTGCTACCCGCTGCGGGAGGGCTTTTATCGTCAAGTGTCTAACCCTTTTTTATGCAACCCTTGAGTAGCGTGAATTTGTACAAAGCTACGCCCTTTGAAAGGACCCATTGGAAGAAAATTAGTCACCCTCAATCGCTTCACACCTTTTTTTTATGAAGATGTATTGTTATATATTTATGTGAATGAGAAGGTTGTATTTAATGGTATCAATCGAATCACAACATAAGCTGTAGAATGCGTCCTCTTTTGTTCAAAAGAGGCTTTCAAAAAAACGATAAAATTGTGTTTCTATTTTTTTCCTATGGCCAACTAATTGTAAGCTCTTTGTTGCATATAATCCTTTCGGTATAGAAGTTAATTACTTTTTGCTATTAACGAGTGCTTGTTAAGCCAAGCGTCCAGAAGGCACTCAGTGTCGAACTTTTTCTTTATACGCAGACCTTTATCCATGATTATTTTGATACCCCTCTGGTGTACTCAGCTCTCTTTATACAGACACCTCTGTGGTCCGGCCTAGACTTGGCTTTGACCTTTTCGTTTCCGTATAAGGAGGTTTGAGTGTATAGATATAAAACCGTTACAATATCAAGGTAACATTAAAGACTTTGAGAATAAGCATAACAAAGGATGAGTAATTGCAACCTCGTCGTGTTTTCTGACGTTTTTTTTCCTGAGGGCTTTTAGTCGAGCAACGAATTTCAAGAGCCATTACGTAATCATCGTTAAAAGCCGGCTATCATAAATAACGTTTGTTCACAAGAGGCGAAATGCCGCTACTACAATAGAACAAACGTACGTTGATGTTAAAAGACAAATTACTTTAATAATGAAGCAACAGAAAACTTCTGTATGGTGGTAGATATTGAGCACTAGAGCAACCCTTAAACAGAGTTGCAACAAAGTTTTTACATACATACATATCCCTACATAAAACTTGTTATTAGAATTTCTTTACGATCACAGCCTTTGTTTTTAGTTTCCTTGCAAATGTAGCTCATTTGACCACTTCAACTGATTATAACAATAAATGAATGAGCGGTCGTTCACTAATATGTCCTAATACATAAAGCTCACTCTGCCATAACAGAAGGCGAGTTTGCAAACGTGAAACAGTTACATTCTATTCACACGTGTTTGTCTTCAAGAATACCTTAGAAACTGTTTATACCATCTCTAGCATATCATTGGTCACAATAAGCGTTCAAAAAAAAATAATACTTCATGACTGCAGAGAACGAAGGACCCACTGCCTTCTTGAAGCACGTGAATCGGCGGTCACGTTCACATGATACTGTATAATACTGATGATACTTTGCCAAAATAAAGAGCAGAGGAAGTTTTACGCAAGTAGTATCTTCTCTCACTTAGGTAAAGCATTCACTTGCTCAAAATTAGTCAGAACTTACTGGCCGGCTATAGGCTAGTCCAGGTATAGAAAAAAATTCCAATCTTAATCAGGCGGACAGTTCAACAACATCAATTTATTCCTAAATAATATGCATGATGATGTTTAAGCGAAAACTCTTGAAAATTGAGGCTATTTTGTTTTCAAAATGACCGATCCTGCCGGCCACTTATGTCTTTAGGTACGCACCCTAATAAGAAAATCAAAATATTCTTCGACCGAAGAGGCAATATATTTGACCGTTGGCAAAAAACGTTAATAAGCTCATACATTCTTTGTAAAGTTTGGGGTTTTTCAAAGAGAATTTCTCTTTAACTATATGGTATATCATACGTCGGGTTCAAATTTTCAGAAATAACTAGAATTGTCATGCTCTTTAAATATTCAGAAAATTTCTTTTACTGCATGGCTTATTCATATAATGATAAGCCTACGTCAGTAAGAAAAAATGCAAGCAAGGATTCGTTCATTTATATATTAACTTAGAATAATAGTTTTGTTTTTATTATGAATACGATTTTATAATTTGATACATGTTACTAAACTGATACGTGAGCCTCCCCATTCTGGATTTCGTCGTCTTCTGTTTTGTCTTGAGCTCCTGTTCGATCATCGTCTTGCTCTCGGGCAAACTCAAGAAAAACCTGAAAACCAACCTCAATTAATTCACTTTATTCTTTTACCGCGTTGTTAATAAACACACTGGCAAACTGTGTGTGGAAATCGTTATCATGAAGGTTGTTTTGATATTGGATATTATTAAAAACTGAATCACTGGATAATGCAATTCTAGAGCTCTGATTGGCTTAGCCCTAATGGTATAGGAGCCATTATACCATGCTCTCCAAATATGGTAACTGTACGCGTCTGCTCAAAATTAAAAACAAGCTGAAAATCGGTTCTTTCTACAAATAAAGTCGGGAAGAATTCCCGATATTTTGTGGGCGTTTTTAATGAAACAATTATTCCACTCGCGCTTGTTGGATATGATATGTGTATTTTAACACCTTTAAGTCATTGCTTAAAACTCACTATTTTAGAGAAGCGTGTAATTTATAATTTCTTTTTAGTGTTTCATATAGTATACTTCTTGGCATGTTATTCTAAATTCAAAATTGAAAGAGGTAACATAGTAATTTTAGATTCAATTTTAATATGTAAAGCACATTTGATCATATCCTCCTGTATGTTAATTTGCGCTATATAAATATTAAATATTATCATTATCATTATTATTATTATTGTTATTGTTATTATCATATGATTCATTATAGCCAACTTACCCATATCCAACGCGCACTCGTGGAATAATTGTTAAATAATCAACGTAAGAGTTTGAGAAATCTAGCTTTGAATTTCTTTCAAGAGTTACTGTTCGTTTGACAAACTGTCAAACACGAGTTTCATCAGATATTCAGTAAACTCTCAGAAAAAAATTATTATTAATAATAATAATAATAAAATCGACTGCTGCGTCTAGTTTTATCGGCAGTGCATTTTTCGGTGTCTAGATATCCCTATCAAACAATAGCCTGTTCCAGGTTCCAAGATAGTAGTTGGTCGTGGAGTAAAAATTTATGCGAAAAACGCGCGGGGCATGGGGAGAGAGACCGTTCCCTTCTGCAGATCTTGCAGGTGTTATTATCGCTTGGCTTGTTATATTTTCGCGACGCCCATACCATCTCAGAGCCTAGCACAAGCTCATGAAAAAAAAAAAACATGAAAAGTAGACAATACCTGTTCAAGAGTCGACTGACTGAAGCTGTATTCCTCTATCCCTATCTCCTCCTTGCCTGGAAAAACAAGTAGGAAAAAATCACATAACTACCTTCCGGTAACTTAAGTAACACGCTATGGCTTAGGGTCACAAATTAACACTGTTTTAGTAAACATCATACCTTTTTCCAGCTTGTGAAAGATGATTGACAACACACCAACACCTTCTTTTGGAACCTTGTATACCACTCTTCCCCCGAAAATTTCGGACCGCGTAGCACCTGGCAGCAACTCTGAAACAAAGCTGTGCAACCGCTCCATTGGGTCTTCTGTGGAAGGCTCAGGTGACTGTGTTTGCTTGAGCTTAATTTCCAAGGTATAACCGCTGCCGTAAGTACTTTTCAAATGTTGCGTTGAGCCAAGACATCTTCAAAAGGAAAGAGATGATCATTGTACTGGTGTACTTCATGGAGTTTGAGCAAAGAATTGGCTTGTGCTTTACGTTTGGGGTCGAAGAAGAGAAATCAAAGCAGACTATTTTGGTTATGAATGTTGTCCCCAGCGTTTAATGCCGAGTAAGACGAGAAAGCAACTGAAACCAGACGTAGTGTCGTAATACCAAACCCGAAGTTATTACGCCAGCTATCATAACTCAGACGATTGCCACCAATAAACCAATCAGACTTTACTGCTAACACCGATGTAGCCGGCGTAAAGCGCGGGAAAAATACAGTGGGTGACACACAATCGGTTTAGGTTTACTTCTAATTGGTTGAGAAAGTGGCGCGAGTTTTCTCAACCAATCATAAGGTATCCATTGAACAACTAAGGACTAAGTAACAAAGAATCGCTTTATATTGCAGACTCACTTGAGTCGACCTTTGACCATGATACCAACACGTGAACACAGGGCATCCGCTTCCTCCATTGAGTGGGTGGTAAGAATGGCTCCTCGTGTTCCTTGCACATTTTTACTGATTGTATTCCTAATCGCGAAAAGGGGGAAAATGTGACAAACAACAAAGGTACTGATGGTGGTCATCATCATTATCATTTAAGGCGATCCAGATGATCACATACAAACACCTCTGATGCGAAGCGGGGCGAACCGGACAACTGATACGATTACAATAGTTTGTATGCAATTATCTTGATCGTCTCGTACTCCCCCCAATCGTTCCCAAAAATCGAAGCATCGAGGTGACCCGGCGAATACCTGTAATCTAAGCATGTAGAACTCAACTGAAGAAGTGCCGGCATTTGAATTGTCAAACAAAATAATTTTGTTCACAGACGAAACATGATATTAAGTCTACCAACCGAAGTGTACTAAGATGTTGGTTGGTTCGCATAAGTAGATAAATGTAAAGGTAGGTAAAGGGGCGCATGAGCTATGGTTACCCCAGCAGTGTGTCGCCTGTAGCCAGTATACAGTGCCGGACCCAGCGGGTGGGCGGTCTCTCAAAAAATTTTTTTCGGCCCTTCGGGCCTCAGTTTGGTCCAAAAATAAGGGGTGGGCCCCCCAGGCCCCTCCTCTGGATCCGCCACTGGTATACCTGGGTGAAAGGAGATAAAGACGGGCAAACGTCCTTAATATCGAAGGAAACTCAGCGCCACAGCAATACTTAAACACACACCTACTGATCCAAATTCCGAGTGGCTCGGACACCACGCCTCCTAACTCGTAGATAAAGCTAATGCAA